GGTTTCGAGAAGGATGAGTGTATTTTGTATTCAGGAGAAATGTAAATAGTTGTTGCCAAAGGGTGGAGTTAGTGGATTTAAAATGAGGACAAATTGTGTGTAAATCTCAGTAAGAAGTGCTTTATTTCCCCACGCCTTGAATGTAAGGTGACCTTTTCACTTGTTTTATCCAATAGAATGTGGTAGAAGTGATATTATACACCTTCTAACTCAAGCTCTTTCAAGTTCTACATTGTTGGTGGGAAGGTATATTTGTACAACTATTAAGGGAATCAGTCTGAAGATTCTGCAAAAAACTGACATTAGCCAGGCGTGATGTCATATACCTGTAATCCCAGCACTTAGGAGGCTGAGACAGGAAGATTTCTGGGAGTTCGAGGCCAGCCTGGCCTGCATAGCGATACCCTGTCTCATAAAACAGAAACAAAACAAACACATTATCACTCCTGCATTCTATCAGTCACACAGAACAACCCTGGTGGTATTGTGGAAGGGGTCAATGCAGGGTCCTAATATCAGCAGACGGGGTGAATAAGAAAGCTGGACACCATTTAACCAATAAACACATAATTCATATCCTAATCTTCATTTCAAGAAGCCCCAAAAGTTTAATTTCCCACACTCGGCATTATTCCTCTGACCTATTTGTTTATCATGAATTCTGCAATTATTTCTCTGTGTGCCTCTGTGTATCCCATACCCTTCCCACATCTTCTCTACTCCACCGCACAGGGAACACGGCCTTTCAGGTCTTGCTGCTCTAGGTGGAGGAGTTGCTGCTGGAGGACGCCTCACTGCCAGCCCTTAGAAGGATCAGCAATGAGGAGAAGAGATTTTAAGATCAATTCCTCAAAACTCTTGGGAAGGAGAACTAAAAATCAATTCAGCTCAATAAAAACTAGGCCGATTTAGGATTATAAGGAACCAAGTACTTGTGCTTGCTGCTGGCTTCCAAAAAAAGAATCAGCAATTTGTCATTGGAGCTATAAAATGTGCCACACTGTTTAACTTAGTCTTTGCTCTTTGCAGACCGTATTTGCCTGCTGTGGTCTAAGTTATTTGCGTTCTCCCAAAATAAGCTTCTCCAGGTGGTTTCTGGGAGAGCTCAGAAAGAGAAGAGAAAGAAGAACCCCAGAGAAAACCTCTGCATTCTTAGAGGACACGTACATGGTCACACAGAGAATGTTAACAGGCTAGGGAAGCTCAAGGCCATTCGGATAAGGTCCCAGAGGGAATCAGCAACATGCTATTGGACATGGAGTAAAGGTGATTCTTGCAGAGAACTTGGCCGACAGTGTTCATGTTCCAGTGTCTTGTGGAAGGTAAAATCTGTGAATATGAAACTGATTATTTGGCTGAGGAAAGTTTGAAGCAGAGTGCTAAAGGTGAAATTTGGCTTCTCTTGGCTGCCCATACCAAATAACAGAAGAGAGAAATGATTTTAATATCAGTTGTCCAATGTGTTGGAAGCAGAACTTAAAGATCTTAAGGGCTGTCAGCTAATCCATGCTGTAAATAATGAAGCAACATTTTGGAGAGAACACTGAGGGTGTTCTACAGACATCCAGTTCTATAGCCAAAGAACAGTCTGAGAAGGATGTCAGCCCGAAGCAGAAACCAGGACTGATTGTGATGAGGGAAGCCAGCCATAAAGTCAGTTCAGAAAACAGCAAGGCTAAAACACAGAAAGATAAAGTACAGTGCATGTAAGGAACACATGGCTAAGGTCAGGGAAATGTAAAGTGATACACGATGTTATTGCTGATTGGAATCCAGGTGAATAAACTTTTTCTCATGAACACTATTTTCCCTGGAAATCAGCCGCTTTGCAGTGAGTAGGGTACAATCAAGCCCTTATTGGAGCTGGTTTCCATTAGCGCCTTCTGAGTCTCAATTTCCTCACCCACAAAGTCAGTGTCGTGTAACCATAGCCCAGGAGGGTGAAAATTAAATGAGCTGAAGTATCTGAGGACCCTCCATCCACAGGGAAGGTGGTTAGAATCAGGGCACCATGGTAGGAGAAAATGGAATAAAGAAAGCAACCTGAACGTTGCATTCTGATCTAGGCTTGCATTCCACCTCCACCACAATTAGTAGTTCAATTTTCTAAGGGCTCTCAGTTCTTCAACTGTGAAACAGGTCTTTCTACTTCACCAGGTTTTGTCAGAGTGACACGTCACATCATGTGTAAAAGGCTGGTAGAGTACCAGGCTCACAGGAGGAGTCCAACTAGCAGTCTCTTCCATTTTGGTTGTTTCAAACCTCCAGTTCTTTCATTCTCTTTTTTTAAAATGTCAAACAAGGAATTTCTTGGAAAGTGAAAATAAAGAAGTTAAGATCAAATATCAGAGAAGATTATACCTTCCCAATTCATTTCCAAGTCACAAAATAAAGTTAAATCCCTCAAGTTAGCCAACAGACTATCCAATGGTCTTGGGACTGAGGCTGAGCTTAGCCCTCTGCTGGCACCCCTACTCTGTGTTGTAGAAGACTTGCTCACAGACTGAGAACAGGAAGGGGCTCAAAATATGACAATGCCCCTCAGAAATGAGCTGACAACGTATAACTAGCGAAGTTTGGAGCCCAAATCAACAACCTGGAATTTTCTCAAATTCCCCCAGGAGTAGTTTCCAGTAGTTATTAGGCGTGGTAGAGGCCGTTTCCAGCAGAGACCACTGGTTCTAACAAGATAATGGGTCATATATTAGCTGAAAATGAAGGATGGGGGAGATATATATATATATGGATGGATTCTCCTTGGCTCCTTTTAAGGCTGGAGTCTGTCTCCAATAATACCAACATAGAAGTAAACACATGCTCCTATACAATTAAAGTCAGCCCCATATAGCAAGGAAATAACAGGACGCATGCCTTTGTTTATAAACAAAGACCAAGATAAATGTCAGCTGCCAGACCTCAAAGGCAAGCATGACAGGCCACTTGCAGAGAGAAGTCACAGGCTGCAGAGCGAGCCCTTTGGTCTCCCCGGTGGCCTCCAGCAGACCTTTCCGGAGGCCTCAGGAAGAGGACAGCAGCTAATGAGGCCAGAGGGAGTCTGCCAACGTGTCCTCCTCTTGGGTCTCTACTGTCTTCTTTGGGCCAACTTTCAAGTTTGATTGTCACTCTCATCGCAGGTTGTGGCTGAATGCTTTGAAGCATTTCCCCTGCAGCACGTATAAAGGCTAAGCTTCAGTTTCTTTATCTGTAAAATGGGGATGCTAGTAGGCCCTCTGTCACAAGACTATTTTCCAGTCTAAGTTAGACTGTGGACTTAGAACCTTGAACTCTAAGTCAGGGCTCAGCTAATGTTGGGTACTGTTGTGGTTGCTGTGATCGTTTTGTTGATTTCTTCCTTTGGTCTGTCACTTTTCTTCTGGCAGCATTCCTCATTGAAACTGGAGCTCATGCAGAGCAAAGGGACCATCAAGGCAGCACTGCTTATGGCACTCAAAGGAAAAAAGTGAAAATGAAGAGCGTGTACTGGGCAGAGATGATTCCCTCATCTGTCAGTCTTGCCTCTGGGGCTGGCAGCTGAGGAGCCAGCCTCCAATGGCAGAGGGTCCCCAGGCCAGGAGGTTGAATAATGCTTTCCAAGGGCCCAGGAGCATTCAGATCTGACACAAGTTGAAGAGAGAAGTCCCCTGAGGGATGCTGTGTCAGAGTCCTTTAAAGGGTAAGGGATTCTACCTCCCACCCGAGGCAGACATCCTTCCCACAAGGTTCCAGGGACAAAGCAGGACAGAGAACGTGTTTGTCCCTTGCATAGCACCTATCCTTAGTCAAGAAGCCGTGCTCTCCCCCTGGGAAGTTAGAGTCACACACAGCCAACAGGAGTGTGTGACTATCCCTTGACGTTAGAGAGCTGGCTTTCAAGAAATCCTACAGCAAGTAGGGAAGTTGGGTGAGACTAATAAGAAGTAGGTAAAGATTTCTGAGAAGTCAGCATGGTGTCTCACTACCATGTAGGGCCTAGTACCATGCCCAGAACTCAGAGGATGCTGATTAATATTTGCAGAGTAAGCAGCTACTGAGACACACGTTAAGAAACCCAGCACTGTCTGTCTAGAATCTAGTGTGCAGGAGCCTCTCTCCTCTCCTACCTGCCCCCCACAAACAGATGTACAAAAGATAACCTTATTACTTGGTAATTTTTTTAAATGATGTAATGACACAATTCATAAATATCTTCTCTGAGAACCGACTCCATGGGGGCTGACTCACAAACTTAGTTTGCTTTTAAAAAGTAGACCTGAAAAAAATCCCTTAAAACTTCTCTTTTGTTCTTTTCCTTATTCCCTTATTGCTTCCTCCTTTCACACACGCACCGTATTTTACTTTTACAGCACTTGGGATCTGGTTATGACAAACTCTGCCACGGCTCATCACGTTTACTTTATGATCTCTTGTCTGGTTTTACTAAGTTATATCCCTTGCAAAAGAACTGCATTAACCCAAAATGCATAAATGCCTCTTTTTGCAACCCAGAGGGCCAGCATGTCACTGATGTTAATACAGCTGACACGTACTTAATATTTCTCAGACGCTTAGCTTACTGTTCAAAAATGTATGGTGGTGTTTTACAGAAAGTCATTGTTGGGCTCTGGAAATGCTTAGAACCAAACGATACATCAAAGCAGGGCTGTGTCCTGGTCAGGTCAGCCTCTGAGTGCTTCACAAAGCTGAGTGTGTCTGGAGCGCAGGGTGCGTACACACACAGTAACAGGCACACGACAAGCTCACGTACGAATTCATCACCTTAGGAGGCCTGTCCTCACCCTGCCTGTGGCAGCCAGAGCACCAGGCAACCCAGACACCCCCTGCCCAAAGGAGAAAGCACAGGCCAGTCTTCTACAGCAGAGCCAACCCTCTGATTCACCTGGCTTCATTTAGAGACAGAAACCCTTGGAGGATCCCATTGTGTTCAACAGACTGACACTTAACAGGGTATCTGTCTTCAGATTATAAAAAGCAAAAGGGAAGCATAACTGCTTTTCTCCTACCTGCTGCTGAGCCACGAGGAGCTGGGCTGCTGCCCTCAGAAGTGGGCAGACGCCACGGTCTGTCTTCAGCTCCCACCCCTGGAGCCAGCCCCACCGGCAGGGAGCTGTCAGTGGCTCTGAGCAAGCCCACTGCTGACCCAGAGCTGGTTCTTTCCCATTTGCACGGCTCCTTGAGTCCCAGAGTGGGACAAAAGGATGTTTGGGCAGAGAGGAACTGAGTCTAAGGGAAGAGAAGGGGAAGATGGGGAAGAGAAGGGGAAGATCACAAGGCAGGACTTTGTTCACACAGCGCCCTTCCTTCAAGGAGAGCCCTCTTTTTTCCAGCTCTAATGTCTCATAGGTCTGCCACCGCATTACTCATGTAATTGCTGCATTGCCCCTTCACCAACAACAGACATACTCATGGGCAGGCCTCCAGATTTCTGCAGCATGCCTGTACCTGCCTGCAGGGATATCGCTGGGCCTGGGAAAACTGAGAGAGCAACGTGCCTACTCAAAGGGACAACCCGGACTAGGCTATCCATCACGTTCTTGGGATAAAACAATGCCACAGAAGGAGAGCAGGGACTGGCCTGAGCTTCTCCACCATAGAGCATCCAGCTCCCGCATGAGATCTCCTGCTTAGGGCTCAAAGTTCTTCCAAGTAGATCAGCAGCTATGCTTTGTCAGGCTGCAACTTGTTCCCCCAAAGAGGAAAGGAGCAGCAAGGATTACTATCACTGAAGGAATGTGGTTTTCTTACTCTGGGCAGTCAATGTCGGAGAGTCAAAGATGATAGATGTGCAATTAAAGTTTCTTACTCCTAATACTCAGAAAGGTGATGGTGAAGAAAGCATTCAAAGGCAAGGGAAGTGTCACAGAGGCCCTATGTTTCGTTGAGTCTTGGTTTCCAAGAAAGTGGAGGGGCACCATAGAGAGGAAAGAGCAATTAGGAAGAAACTGGGAACTCTTGACTCTATTGCAAGACCTTCAATAAATTTCTTAACCAGGTTTCCAAATAAGTACAATGAGGTGGCTGGGCCAGATGAGCTGTACCATAACACAACAGCATTTGCACTTTTCTATCTATCTTTGTCCCTTGTTCTTGTAGCAAATCTTTGATTTTCTCTGGAGAATAACCCTTTCCTCTCCACTGCTCTGGTTGAGCTGATTCCACTCACAAATTTTTCATAAGTGGACACAAGGTGAAGTCCAGTCACCTGGAGTCACTGTGCTGTACTCACAGATGGGTTTCTGCTAACAAGAGTCGTTCCCAGAACTTTTACTGGGGAAAGATATTTGTGTCTTGCTGTGGTCATCAATCAAAGAAGCAAACCTACAGCCACTGATGTCTACCCTGGATGAAGCTATTGCAAGAGAAACCAGAGCTTAGAGATGGTAAGAGGCCAGTCCTTGAATATCTGGATATAGCCATATCCAAGGAAGTGAGCCTTTCCTTCAGATTTCTCAAAAATATTTGTTATGCCCTTAAAACTATTTAATGAGACTTCTGACACTATACTTGCAGAGAAAATAATTAGAGCTAATATGAAATTTTTCTACTGTCCTTCGCATCTAACATTTCTGCTGCTTAACATTTATATCCAGAGCAATATGAGCAGCGTAGAGATGTTGAGGGACAATAGATGGATGAGTTTCTTTTTTATTCACTTGTGGAAGTGTCTTTATAAGGCTGATCCTTAAACAGCAGGCAGGTGGAGAAGTAAAGCAAGTTCCGTTGAAAACTTTCAAAATTCTTTTTCTTTACTGTGAATACAGTTCTTTGTTAAAAAGTCAAATAATGTACAAGTTGAAATGCACAAAGTGGAATTCCTCCACAATTTGATCTCCCCCTAATAATCAAGGCTATCATTTTAGTGGCTTGATAGCGCCTAAGGCACCATAGAAAGGCAGGACTCGGCTCTCGTCTACTGTTGTATTTTAACAGGCGCCTCGGGTAATCTGCATAGCCCTGAAAGCCCGCAAAGCACTGACTTAAAGTAGAGCCCTTAGGGATTTATTCATGTATCCCAGCATCTTTCAGTACAATAATTTGGCAGGCTTTTATTTTACAGATTTTGTGAAGGAAAGGCGTACACAAGTACAAAGAACCAGAAATGATGTCACCAAAATCCTTTACAAAACAAACATAAGCCATTCATTTACTGGGGCTGCTGCACCAGTTATAAAGGAGTTAGAGACCCGCCTCCAACAAGGATCCCATACACAGTGCAGATTCTAGCAGGACCCAGTGTGCGCCACAGCAGGTTCTCCAACCTGAGCATTCATTAGAACCAGCTGGAAGTGAGGTTCACAGCTGCTAATCCACACCCAGAACTTCTGGTTCAGTAGGTTTGGGTGAGGCCTGAGAATTTGCATTTCTACAAGTTCCTGGGATGCCTGCTTTACCTCCAGTCCTGAACCTTTCTCCAGATTTCAAAAATAAAAATGGGGCCAGGTGTGGTGGCACATGCTGTGAGTCTCAGCATTCAGGTAAGAAGATTACCATGCATGTGAGGCCAGCCTAGGCTGCATGGAGAGATCTTGTCTCAAAAAGAAAAATATGGTTTTATGATATATATAAATGTGTTTTTTACTCTTAATACTCTATGTGGGACATCTTTCCATGCCATTGCTACAAAAATATATCATTCTTTTTAAGTGCTACAAGGTCAGAAATTGTTGGCTCATATGACAATGTACGATAAATGACAAAATCAAAGCAAAAAAGGAATTGTTGATGCTTTCAACATAAGAATGAGAGTCATCACTTCATTTCTTCTTTTGTGGAACTGGGGTTGGAACCCAGAGCCTCACTCTGATCTACGTCCCTAGTCCTATCTATCTATTTTTATTTTGAGACAGTGTCTCACTGAATTGTTAAGTTGCACAGGCTGGATTTATTTGTGTGGTCTTCCTGCCTCAGCCTCCCAGATTGTTCGGATAAAGGCCAGAATCATTATCTTTAATCATCACTTTTAAATAAGCATTTTTAAAATTGGGTCTAGAGACAAAAAAGCTCCACACTAACCAGGAAAGATCTTAATATCATGCGAGTGCCCATGCAGATCCAAGGATGGAGATGCAGTTCCATGGGAGCTAGTCTACTCTACCTCCCTATATCCAAGGACAGGGTGGAAATCGGTGTACAGAGGCGCTCCATACAGCCCCACAGCCAGTTAGTGAAAGCACACATGCATCTAATGCACAGAGCAACTCCGCCTGAGAGTCCCTGGTACACAGCTGCTGCACCAAACCCCATCCTGCCAACACTTAGTAGGCAGAGGCCCCCACAGACCATCTGGACCTCCAGAAAGAAAATGACTGAGCTTGCAGACTTGGCTGGAATGTTAACGAGCCATGCCCCCAAAAGCCAGATCTGGAATTCTGAGGCGATTCCGGAGTACACTGACATGTTCTTGGAATCTCTCTGCTTCCTAGATGTCTTCTATTGTTAAAATGTTCCAGGCTCAGATAGACTTCTAACCCTCAGAAAAGTTGACTGGCCCAAAAGGTTTTTTCCCTAGTTAGAAAATATAGCTGTAAGAAGAAAACATGAACCACACAGAGCGGCACATGTCTGTAATCCTAGCTATGTAGGAGGCCAAGGAAGGAGGATCTCAAGATCGAAGGTAGCATGGGTAACTTAGCGACCCATTCTCAAGACAAAATATTATTTTTAAAAAGGACCTGAGGAGTGATTCATAGTAGAGCACACTGGTTTCAATCTTCAGTACCACAAAAGAGTGTTTTATGTGTGTATACATACGCGTACATGTGTGTGTACATACCAGTAAATACATATTCTTCAGCCAAGCCATGCCCTTGCCCTGTGACTCCACATGTGACCACCATTAGGATGATGTGATCACAGTCTATCCTGGATAATGATACACTAAATATTCAAATGTGGGATTTAGAAATATTAAATAGCAACGTATTGCACTAGAATGAGCCAATTTTTGGTCTGATTTGACCAGTTACTAGGCTTAAACTCAGGCAGGAAGACCCCACGTCATATGCACTACAGAAGCATTTCATCAGCAAGCATTGCATTTGATATCTGGGATATACAGGTACAGATATAGATATAGAGGATACAGATAACTAGGATATGGGGTTGAAAGGTAGATGCTGTCAAGGACAATAGTGTAGGAGGATTACACCCCGGCACGAACATCTGAGGGGTCAGATGTGGACCGATAAAGGGTTCATCCCCCAGCTGGGGGCTCATCAGACAATGAAACCTGGGCTTGAGATAAGTGTGCAAAGATGGAACACACAAGCCAGGTGAGCTCAGTGGAGCATGTTGAGCCAGAGAGTGTAAGTAATTACAATAGCACCTTAAAATATACAAAGAGCGGTTACATTTTTAAAAATCCATTACAGTAAAAGACATTGCTAATAATCCCCACCAAAATGTTCCCTCTTCCTTGGAACACTCTTTACCCATCATCCTTGGCACTTTCAAGCTCTGGAAGTTTCCTTTTGTGTATTTACAAGGATGATAAAAGATAAGTGAATGCTGCCAAGTGGTCCAGCAAAAAGGCAGGGTTATTAAAACATCACAGTATATCCTTGTTCTCCTTATTCTGACATTGTATGACTTCTGACTTGGCCCCCAAATCCAAATGATCATGAATGGTAAGCATTTTGAACTGATTCAGGATATCAGAGAAGTTTGGACAGAATAACCAAAGACACTCACGAAAGAGGAATTCCTGAACTGCTTCAGAAAGTGTCAAGAACATGGGAAAAGTATGTTTGAAGTGATGGTGAATATTTTGAGGGGGATTCATGGCACTGTGTTTTACTGTAATGACTGGTCTTAAATTTAAACATTCACTATAGTTTTGACCATGCCATGGAGGTGAGGCAGAGTCTACAAGCTCAGGAAACCCCAAAGACCTACGGGTGATTGGAGTGCAGCCTCTGTGTGAGAATGCAAGAGAGAAGATGGGGCAGAAATGAGCTGAGAGGTCAAAGTTAGACCTGAAGGGACAACAGTAATGCTGTGCTGAACAGGTTTCATCTGTAAAGACATCCTGGCAGCAGAATGAAGATGGGGAACCAGGAAACAAGACTTGGAAATCTAAATAGGAGGCTCCCACACTGTCTAAGGGAGCAGTACCTGAGCCTGGTTTTGGGGACCAAGACATAAGGAGAAATTTAGTATATGTTTGGGAACAAGGATGTGAGGAGCTTTAATGACTATTTGGTGGTAATGATGCAGACAAGAGATAGGACCAACGGGACACCAGGTTTATGATGTGGTGAGGTAGGTGATGAATTGAGAGCCAGTATGGGAACAAAACACT